GATATGAGAAGCATGTCTAAGCAACAGCTTTGTGGGAAAAAAATCTAAGAGTTTTAGTTGATCTCAAGCTCAATATGAGTTAAGGGAATGAGGCAGCCAAAAAAGTAGAAGCAGTCTCAGGCTACAGTGAGAGGCCAATGTCTAGAGGTAAGTTTCTTGGAATTGGAAGAGACTTGTAGTTCAAAGAATTCAAAGATTATCTAGACCCAACCCTGAATTTTATTTGTGAGAGAATTGAGGCTCAGGGTGTCTCAGCTAACAAATAAGGTGGGATTCAAACTCATGCCTTCTGACTCTAAATCCTGTCCCACATGGCTAGATTAGTGCTGTCCTGGTCAGACCACATTTGGACTATCGTGTTCAGAACTTGGTACCATACTTGGGAAAGAACATTTACAAACAGGAACCCATTCAAAGGAAGGTGACCAGAATGGTGAAGGAAATGGAAATCATTAGGTAGAAGGATTGGTTGAAGGAATTAGGGGTGTTTTGCCTGAAGAAAAGAAGCCTTGTGGAGATTTGACAGCCATTTTGAAGTATTTAATTAGCCATCATGTGGAACATATGGTCAGACCAGTAGCTTAGAAATGTTCATTTGGCAGCTGTATGGAGGATGGATTGGAGAGAGGAAGAAAGTGGAAGCAAGAAAACCAATTAGGAGGCTATTTTAAATAGTCCAGACAAGGGTAACAAATGGGAAATAGAGAGGAGACAAATGTGAAAGATGTTGGGGAGCTAGTGCCAACTAATTGGATGGGGTAGAGAGAGGAGGGGGGAAGAGAAAGAGAGGAATAAACCTGGATGACTAGACTATGACAGAAATTGGGAAGTTTGGAAGAGGGGTGAGGAGAGGATAATGAACTTCATTTCGGACATGTTGAGTTTGAGGCTCCTATGAGCTGTCCAGGTAGAGAGAGCCAGCAGACAGTTGGTGATACAAGACAGCACATAGGAAATTAGAGGTGGCTATGTAGATTTGGGGGCAGTCTATGTAGAAATTGTCATTGAACCCATAAGAAGGACTAATTGTTGAGGATGTTGTTATGGCTATTCCTGTTCTGGTATGGGATGAACTGGATGGCCTCTGAGGTCCCTTCCATGTCTGAGATTCAGTGATTTCCCCAGTACAGCTGTTGAGTATTACTTAAGAAAATCCCCAAATTCAGCTGACTTCTCCCATCACAAATTTATGTTATACAAGTTCAGCTGGGCCCTGGATGCTGTTCAGAAATCCTACTCTAACTTTACCAGTTCTTTATCTCATTCCCCATAATGTCTTTTCTTCTCTCCTTTCCCTTCCCCCAAATTCTATCCTTTTTCTATACGTAGAACAGATGATGCTAGCCTCCTGCATCACTGAGAAGATTGAGGCCATCTGACATCAACTCCCTCAGTCATTCTCCTCCATTCCTTAAAACTTCTAGCATCACCACCCATTCCATGTCCCCCATGGCTTTAAGAAAGCAGTATTCTTCTCATTTAGCTTGCTTTCTTAATCATACTGCCTCATTCTTATGTCTTCAATCTCTCCCTTTCCAATGACCCTTCTCATTTGCCTGCAAACATGTTGAGTATCCCCAGTCCTTAAAAATGCATTCCACTGGGGCAGCTAGGTGGCACAGTGGATAGAGCTCCTGTCTTGGAGTCAAGAGGACCTGAATTCAAATCTGGCATCAGACACTTGATACTTACTAGCTGTGTGACCCTTGGCAAGTCACTTAACCCCATTGCCTAGCCAAAAAAAAAGGGGGGAAAATGCATTCCATTGACTCTTCTACCCTCTCCAGCTACCAGTTCCTCTTTCTCCTCCCCTTACTGCTTCAAAGATTCCTCACCCTCCTGCTATTTCTTTAACCCTGCCTCCTGTGTCTTCTTCACTAGTGGGCTGACCTACCCTACCCGTGGAATGCCCTCTGTCCTCCTCTGGCCTTCCTCATCCTTTAAAGCCCTATTCAAATGCCATCTCCTTCAGGAAGCTTTTCCCTAATGCCCTATGGTCAGTAATAATCGTTCCCCTCAAATCTCATATAACACTGTTTTACAACTCTCCAATTCACCTATCATGTATTATTGTGTATGTTTGTGCTATGTGGCCCTCCTACATTTAAGTTTCATGAGGGCAACGATAAGTCTTCTCTAAGCTTTCAAGCTTTCTCTGAGCTTTTCAATCACCCACTGCTCCCACCACCACCACCATTACCACCATATCTTCTAGCACCTAACATAGTGTTCTGCACACAGTAGAGCTTAATCAGTTCTTAACCCCTGTTGAATGAATTGTCTAGGTGAAATCCCCCATTATAGTTCCATCCTGCTTCCAAGTCTTCAGGTCATCTGTCAGGAACTCATCATCTGCATCATCCATGACCTAGTAGCCTGTAGTAGAGTATGTACTGTATCACCGGCTTCTTCCTCCTTTGATCGGCACCCAGATGTTCTCCACCAGGCTTCCTCCCCTCAGACTCTTGCATTCCCACCTAGGACCCCACATTTTTGAAGTACCAAGCTGCTTGACCCTTCACATTTGCCTAGTCTGATCCTCTTGAATAAGATGTAACCTTTCATAGCCATATTCTAATCATTGAGCCACAAACCATCATGTCTAAAATCCTACTGAGCAAGTTAGCCTTAAAGAAAAGAACAAGCTCTCACCAATACCTCTGTCATCATCTAGTTCATTATGTCTGTTTTACATATTTTTTGTGTATAACCATCTAAATTCTGGGTTTTATTGCTGTTGCTTTTATTTGATGTTGTCAAATTACCAGTCCTTTCCTTCTGCATTATACCTGCAGGTAAAATATCATTTGTGGTATCTAGGGCAGCTAGGTGGTGCAGTGGATAGTGTACTGGGCCTGAGTTGGAATTCCCAAGTTCAAATCCAGCCTCAGATACCTACTAGCTGTGTGACCCTGGGCAAGTGACCTAATGTGTTTGCCTCAATTTCCCCAACTGTAAAGTGGGATAATAACACCTATCTCCCCCACCCTCCAGGGTTGCCAAAAGGATGAGATAATATTTGTAAAGTGCTTAGATTATTATATATTACCATCTGCCTTGGTAAATAATATGAACAGTTTTCCCCCTCCCTTTCTAGTTGAAACATAAGGCCCTCCTGAACAGATATGCAAGAAAATATATAGTTTACCAGTCCTCTTCAGACATTTTCCATTCCTGGCCATCATTCTTACCTTTAATTTGCATCCATGATGAAAATATGACCACTGCCTGTAACTACTGCCCACGACACCATAATCCCAAGTAGTGTTTTAGAGGGCCTTTCTGTCAATATCATTCATCTCTACACAAATCACCAAAAGTGAATAGTAGTCATCAAGTCTGAGTAGCTTCAGGAAGAGTCATAAGAACCAGGTTCATATACTGTGTTACCTTCAGAAGCAATGTATCCTCAAGACCTCAATGTTCTCACCTGTAAATGAGGAGATTCAGCAAAATGATCTCTAAGGTCCCTTCCAAGTTTAATGGTCTGTGATTTATGGCACCTCCCAGTTATTTATTATCAGGCTGACTTGTAGCCACCTTGACAGCCCTCTGGAAGGAGTCACTATCTATCAAGACTCATATCTTCTTCCTATGGCCAGTACTGGTTGGCGCCCTTCCCTGGAAGCGCCTCTATCTCCTTATCACCATTCAGTGGAGCACTGAAAGCCGTTTCCTCTTTCTGAAGCCCTGCTTCACTTTCTATGGGAAAAGCTTCCTGCCATGGTCCTTCTTCTTCCCATCCTTCTCTGTCACACTCTTTCATCCTCTTGACACCGATTAAGATCGCCTCTTGCCTCTCTCTGGCTTTTTGCTCTTCCCCTGAAGAGTTTCTTCAGTCTTTTCAGACAGACAGCCATTGCTCCAGCCTTCTCACCTTCTGCTGTAATGAGACTAGCTCACATTTTATCCACAAGAATACTCCCTTTGTTCTCCTTACCTGCTGAAACTGAGATACCATGTTCCAACGTGGCTTTTGCTGCTTACTCTTCCTGACAGCCTCAGGCTCGAGGGGGTTGGGGGGAAAGGGGAATTGTGGGGAGGAATTCTGAGCCAAATTTTTTTTCTAGATTTTTTTTTAGATGTTCCACACCTTTTTTCTGGGGCATTTCAACTTTTTCTGATACCTAGTGCTAGTCAGGTGCCTCTGATTTGCAATGAGCAGATTCTAGTCAACCCCGCCCTCCCAGTTGCAGTGATTGTCCTCAGTTGTGTGACCAGCCCTCCTGAAAAAAAATAGTTGACATCTACAGCTAAAGTGTTTCACATATGTTATCTCTGATCCAAACAATACTCACTGTGAGGTAGGCATTCTGACTTCCAGCTACTTCTCATCTATTCCTTTTTCTTCTCTTTTCACTACTAATCCTACATCAGCTGCTTTCTGTTATCTTGACTTTTCACTATGTCATAGCTTCTGGAGAAAGGAAAATGAGGGAGCCAGGCCTGAGAGTACATTGGGGACCCCACCTAAGCACTGTTTGTCATTCAAGGATCAGGGATGTGTCAGGAGCCTGAGCTGGATAAACAGAAGTCACTTCTAAAGAACAGTCATGAGGGGGGAGGGAGAAGGTAAGGGGTTAGGTGGTCCCCTCCTTCTCCCACGAGACCAATTGTGGGTCAAATACAGTCCACTCTGAATTATTCAGACTAATGAAGGAGGGAATAATGGGATAACCAAAACAGCAGAGCCCAAAGTGCCTTCTCCTTATCTTTGGGAAGCCAGGCTGATCACATTCTTGGCTGGGTATTGGGAAGCCCAGGCTAGGATTGAGAGTTTGCTCTAATAAAGGAGAGAGAGTATCCCTCTCTGCAAATCCAGCCCAGACTCTCATGTCATTATAACAAGTCCATTTTCCCTGTAAGGAAAAGGAACAGAAGCTAGGGGGAAATTATGTTCTGGGGGGAGAGATAGAGGGCCTTATTCCAAGAGCGCCCCTCTGCAAAGGAAGGTTCAGCAAGGAGGGTCAGTACTAAGACTATTTCTCTATTTTCCCCAGATCGTTTAACCAAAGAGTGTGGGCATTGGGGCCCAAAGTGGAAGGAGCACTAGGGACAAATACAGCCCATTCATGCCAACAGCTGATGAGGCTGGGAAGCAGGTGAGAGAACACCACCTTGACCTCAATTTGCCCTTTCAGGGAAATGGTTACAACATATCCTTGGGATACAGAGAATAAGGAGAAAGTTGGAAAGATGAGCTGCTCAGGCTGGGAAAATCCATACATTGGGAAAGATCAACCCTAGGGTTGGGGGGAACCAGACACTGGGGCAGGGCCCCAGGCCTCCTTATTCTTGTTTTCCAGCACACAGAGCCTGAGGAGGCGGACAGGCCCCCATCTATGTCCCGAAATGACTCAGCCCCTCTGGCTCCTTCCCGGCCCAATGCCTGCTGCTTCTGCTGGTGCTGCTGCTGCAGCTGTTCATGGTATGTGTTTGTTTACATATAAACATGTGTGTTGAACTTACTAGCTGTGTGACCCTGGGCAAGTCACTTAACCCCAACTGCCTAAAAAAAAATGTGTGTGTCTCTGTGTGTATGTGTGTGCTGCATATGTGGTGGCCTTAATAAATGAGTATCTAGAATGGGGTTATTCTGCCATCCTGACACCAGCACCTCCTAGGCAGGTACTCTCCAACATCCATGAGGTAGCTTCTTTAATGGTTATGAGTCATTACACTTACACTCACAGGCTAGGAGTCATCTTAGCTATCCCTTTTCCTTTGGGTAGAACAGCTTCTAACACTTGACCCCAGGACCAGTCACCCCAACAATAATCCTAAGATGGACCCCAGCACACCTACCCTTCAGGTCTCCTGACTGATAGTATAGCAGGAAAGCAGGTAATCCAATGAGTAGTTAAAACACACTTCAGTAGCATTTGACCTTAGGAGTCTGCAGGTCCAGCCCTTTCTTGAGCTATCTCATCCCTCTTGCCACCATACCTGATCATGACAGGAATGGGGTGAGACAAAGAAGAAACAGACTCTATCCTCACCCTTGGTGAACTCATAGTCCTGAGAAAACAAGAGGAGCAGATTGGGGGTCATGTCCCTGGGCAGTTGCCAGGCGTGAGAAAACAGATGAGGAGCAGCAACTGTCTCTGTCATTAAGAGACAGTCAATGAAGAGATTGAGCTCTTGCAGATTTAAAGGAAAGAGTAAGATGTGATCAAGTGCTACATCATATGATCTAGTCTATGGATTTGAAGTCCATCACCACCATTTACTAGCTGTGTGATCTTGGACAAGTCATCTTCTTTCCTTGGTTAATCTTTTTATCCATCTCTAAAAATGAGAGTTTAGATTTAGATGATCTCCCAAACCCTTTCCATGTCTGTCATTCTATAATTCCATGTTATATAACTACTTCAAAATACCAAAGAAAGGAAAGATTACTGGACTAGATAAGTTGAGGAAGTCTTCTTAGAGAAGATGAGATCCTCAGTGCCTGAGGCCTGGCCTTACTCCTGGGGAAGGAGAAGGCTAAGGAAGAAGGGGTTAACCATGCTGAGGCCAGATGAAGGAATTAAAGACTACTGATGGCAGGGGCAGAAAGGCATGCTCTTTCTCCTCACCGGAACCCCAAGTTCTAGGGAAATCTCGTGGAAGTGGAGCCTGAATCTTGGGTTCCAGAATTTCGCCCTTCCTGCTTGGAGTATTCATTTACAGAAGATATGAGGTGAGAATGTATGAGCCTAGGTTGGGAGTATGTGCAACATGTCTTGAGTATGTCTATGTATGACTAGGCATGTGTGCTCCTATATCTGTAAGCATGTGTCTGAATCCACATGCTTATATCTGCATATGTGCTTCTGTGTGAGTATGGGTGTGGGGGGGGGTGGTGGATGTGACCAAGGCAGTGTGCTGAGTGCTGGTACTACCTTTCAATCTCACCATCAGGAATGAAGATCGGCAGCGGGCTTGGAAGACCTCTAGAGAGACCAGACTGGAGACCATCCCCAACTGTGAAACTTGGTAATTCTCTCCCATTACATGCCCACAGTCATGGAGGAGGAGGAAGCTCTCTTCCCTGGGGGACTTCACAGTAGGGTTAGCAAGTTTCAGCAGTCAGGAAGCTTGACTTTGGCTCTGAGGGGAATTTCAGTTTTCCAAACAAAATAGCTTTGGAGAATGAGGGGAGTGGAGAAAGCTGGTGATGGGAGAATAAAGGTCAGCTGATACCCTCACAAATGTCTATCCCTTCCATGTGGACTTACACATTTGCAGCACCAAACCCAGCCAAGAAGAGGTCCAGAGCTGGGCAAAGTCTTTTGACAAGCTAATGAAGAATCCTGCTGGCCGCAATGTGTTTCGGGAGTTCCTTCGTACAGAATACAGTGAGGAGAACATGCTCTTCTGGCTGGCCTGTGAGGAGCTCAAGGGAGAAGGAAACAAGCAAGCCATTGATGAGAAGGCTCGGCTTATCTACGAGGACTATATTTCCATCCTCTCTCCCAAAGAGGTGCGGCCTTGGGCCCCCAGAGCCCTCAATAACTTCAGTATCCCCTTTCCTCCCCACCCTAGGGTCCTGCCCTCATTCCCTAGTCCTTGTGTTCCTCTCTCTCATCCCCTCTATGCCAGGACAGGGTTATTTATCCCTTCTTGGGTCAAGATCACTGCTAATGTTTGGCATTGTGTTTGCCCCAAAGAGGGACTGCGGTGATGGGATGGATGGTGTCATTATCTGGCAGATGCTTTATCAATGTTGCCTGTTCACTGGGAGACAAGTATTGATCTGACTAGTCCAAAATTAATCCCCCCCCCCATTTTGCCAGTGAGGAGTCAGCTGGAGGGTGGCAGGGGGAAAATATAGAAAGACCAGTAAGGTTGAATCTCTCGAAGGTGCGATCCTGCCCAGCCCCAGGGAGGGAAGGGGAGGAGAGGGGGCCACCAGTGTTCTGGCCTCTGGGGAAGGTAAGCCCCAACCCCCATGTAAGCCTCAGGGTACCGGGAGTGCATGCTCACCTGTAATCCTCATACTCAGGTGAGCCTGGACTCCAGGGTACGAGAGGTCATCAACAAAAAGATGCAAGAGCCATCATCCCATACATTTGATGATGCCCAGCTCCAGATCTACACCCTCATGCATAGGGACTCCTACCCTCGCTTCCTGAACTCAGCCTTCTACAAAGCCCTGCTCCTCAGCACCTCGAGATCCTCCTCTGAGTCCTAGGGCAGCCTTCCCTCCCCATGGAAGGGATGAGGGCAGCCTAGACTCTTAGTTCTACAACACCTAGAGGGACGAGATCTGGCCACTCTGGAAAATGGGACCAAGGGGGCAGTTATGCCTATGCCCTCTCTCTTAGAGAAACCTCAAGCTTTTCCACACAGAATTGTCCTCTTGTCTCTTGAGGTCACTGCCCACTACCTGTACTACAGTGTTGGACCAAGTTATCTTCACAACCTCAGGCCTGACTTCTTGTTAATAATAACAGCTCCCATTTCTATAGCGCTTTCTGGTTTACAAAAGCGCTTTCCTCACAACCACTCTGGGAGGTAGGTATTGCAAGTATTTTCCCCATTTTACAGATTGGGAAACTGAGGCTTTCAAAGAGGTTACATGACTTGGCCAGGGTTACATGGTTAATAAGTGGCAGAGCAGAGACTCGAACTCAGGTTTTCTGACTCCAAGTCCAGTGCTCTTTCCACACCACCACAATGCCTCTTTTACTACTGAACCCCTCGTAGGGACCCACAGGGCTCTCAGGAGGAGAACTGGCTATTCAGGGCAGAGTGGAGCAGTGGAGGGTGTCGTAGGGCCGGAGGACAGCCCTAACCAGCAGAACCTGCTGCTTTTCTTTTTAGATGGTCACTTTATGCTCCCTCCTCTAGTCCTGTCTCCTGGCCAACAACCTCCCCCCAGGAAGGGAAGGTTTAGTATTATTTTTTTTTAAGTCTCTGTATAAAGAAGTGTCAAGTTTACATTGCCTTTGCTGAGGCCAGCACCATGCTGAGAGCGACACTGAACTCGGGGATGTGGAGGGTTGCAGCCCTAAAGTCCTCCTTCTCTTTAGCCTCCCCCCCCACCCATCTCCATGTTAAAGTATAGTTTAAAAAAAATTTTTTTAAAGGACCAAGCTCCTACTACCACCCAACACCCACTTCCACCTCTAGAGCAGCAGGATTCTGGTAGGAAGTAGGTAAGACAGACATGTATTCGAGCTAAGGCCGTGTCTTCCCCCAAAGAAAGGCCCCCCAGGACAGTACCCCCACCACACCTCAGTTTTCTGGTGGTAATTTCTCGTGGCTTTGAGATCCTGCCATGCCCAAGAGACAGGAACTATCTATCCCCATTCCCCTGCTTCCTCCCATCTGTCCTCTTTAAGGCCCTGGGTAAAAAAAAAAGGAGAGAGCCCTGGGGAGGCAGGGAAAAGCTGCAAAGGAGAAAGGGGGAGGAGGCAGAATGATCCTGTAATAGAGGCTCTGCCCAAGCCCTGAGCTGAGAAGTCTTTCTTTCTCATGCTGGCCAGCAGGGACTGGGTAGTTCTAACTAACCATTTTTGGGTAAATGCTTTGGCACTCCTTCCCCCACCCCCACAGTAGCCTCCAGTCAGGCTCCCTGTTTTCCCATCCCCACCCCCACCCTCCTCTTCTCTGTGGCTCTGGACTCCCTTCCCCCACCCCTTTACTGCACATGGGTAGTGTCTCACACCTGGCTTACAAGAAGAGGGCTAGAAGCCAGCCAGGCTCTTGCCCACTTTATTCGCCCTTCCAATCCAAGCCAGCCTAGAGTTCTGTGCCAAATTCTGAGAGGCCATCAGAAAGAAATTCAACCCCTGAGCCAGATGAACTCAGGCCTCTGAAGATGCCTCTTTGGAGCTCTGAGCCTGATCCTCGTAGACCCTGAATGCTTTGCTTGGGGAAACAACTTGAGGACACAACTTGAGCAGACTTCTTATGGGGGAGGTAGGGTAAAGAAAGAGACCACAGGGCCATTAATTTATAAATGAATATACAGGCCCCCTCCCCCTCTCCCAGGCTTGCAGGGGAAGGAGCCAAGTCACTGAAGAAAAGTCTTTGATGAGGAATATAGTCTACTTACGGATATATTTTTGTAAGGTAAAAACCATTTGCTCAAAAACTCAGGCTGTCTCTAGCAACACTCCCAACTCTCCACCCCTGTGCCAGCCATTCCAGGAAGAAACCACTGATCCCCTAATCAAGCCCTAGAAAATTATTGGTCTCTCAAGTATTTTTTGTATTTTCATATCATTTCTGAGTCTGCCAGGCTGTGAAAACAATAGTCTTTCCTGTATGTTTTAGGTGGGGGGAAACCATGGTTTTAATATTTATCTCCCCCAAATTTAGGATGTTCTTTTTATTGAAAATATTTTTAAACAAAAACAAAAATAGCTTCTCTTTCTTTCCCCTTTGGTGGCTTTGCAGGGATGGGAATGGGAGGCAGGGTAGGGGGTGAGGAAGGAAGGCTGAGGGAAACACATAGAAGCCCTTCGGGTTAGAATCCCTGGGGAGAAGAGGATGTACCTTTTACTCACCAGCTTACTAAACTTGACCGTCTTTCCCAACACTACCTCCGGCTACCACCAGGGGGCAGGCCTTCCAACTCTAAATTAGTTTTCTGACCCAGTCCCGCCCTAAAGAAGTGCTACTCCTGGTCCTTATCTATCAAACTGGTTCACCTACAGTTCATAGATGCCTTTTACAATGGGGTAAGAGAAGCTTTCATCTGTCTAGGTTAGACATAGTGTGGCCTTGAGGCAAGAGAATGTCCAGGATGAGGCTGGCTTATATATCATTTTACAGTAACAACCCCGGACCACAGAAACAGGCCAGATGTCTGACTAGGATCCTTCGTTTCCTGGCAAGCACCTTAGCCCTGGGGGGATCTGACTGGTTGGCTGTAATGCAGAAGACATTCAGGGGCGATGGGTCCAAAGCAGTCACACACAGAAGGCAAGACTGCTCCCCAAGAAGCAGACAGACATGCTTCTGTCCAGATATCCAAAAGCAGGGCTTTCCTCCATTTAGTGCTTGGGATATATTTAGCTGCATAAACAAATTTCTTCTATCAGGATTCCCTGGTGACCCTTAACTGATATATCCCAACTGGTATGAACAAGGCTCTTGTTCAGCTATGCCATCCAACTGGGAGGGGGAGGGAGAGCCAGTATGTCACCCTTCTTTCATCAATATTAGTTGAGCCCGAGTTTTAACTCAGAGATAATAATTGCTAACATATAGTGCCTACTATGTGCCAGTCACTGTGCTAAGTGTTTTACATATATTATCAAGATACATTCTGAGTGACATCAGGAGTTGGGGAAAGTCTACTTTACCTTCTAATCTAACTATAAAAATGTTTTTTAATGCACCTCGCTTTAGGTAGGGCATCCTTTCAGGGACCTGGTAGCCTAGAAACAATGATTCAGGGACCTATGATGTCCTCAGCACGTTAGTCCCTCCATTCATTCAGATAACAATCTCAGCCCCTTAGTGGATCACAGATTGAGAGCTGAAAGGGACCCGAGAGATCATTTAGTCCAGTCATCTCATTTTACAGATGAGTAAACAAGCCCAGAGAAGTTAAATGACACAAAAAGTGAAAGGAAAAAAACAGGATTCAGACTAAGGGCCTTTGACTCCAAATCCAAGGCTCTTTCCATTATGACACAGTGCCACCATTAACAGCCATTGTGAAATGCCGATTGCTATAAGGAAAAACATTAACTCACTGGCCAATGTTCTGGTGATAAGCCTCTCTAAACTTTGACAGGCTGGTCCTTGAACAACAGTCAGTCTTACTGAGCCTGCACTCAAAGTTGGTAATTAGTACCAGAGCTTGGGCTCATACAGTACAGCCATAAGAACTCAGGGTCACTTCCATGCCACAAGGAGGCATCAAAGCACTGTAGTGGAACTTCATGAGGTTATCTCAAAAAAAAATATGTATATTAGGCTTAGGGTCAGAGAATCTCAGAGCTGAAAAGGACCTGAGAAGTCAACTGTTATCCTCAGTATGAATCCCATCTATAACATGCCCAATAAGTAGGAATCCAGCCCCTACTCAGAGACCTCCAATGATGGAGGGAGATCATTACCTACCACTGTAGCCCAAAGCCACTTTAGGACAGCTGAACCTCCCCTACTAAAGCAACGACGTCCCAGAACAAAAAACCCAGCCACATTTGATAAGCCATGTCCCTAACTGCAATGAAAGCTTAGCAAGAAATCATGTTAGTCATCTCATCACTGATGAGATAGCCAGAGCCTAACATTCCCTGTGAAGTTTTGGGCCAGAAGAACCCAAGGAGATGTGTGTCAGTGATTCCCTCACATTGGTGAGGGAAGACCATAACAGCCATACCTGTAAGGACAGGAAATACTCATTCTGACTCAGAATCTCCACAACCTTTTATGTGCTTGACCTGTAGTTCAGCCTGAAAAGCACACAGGCAGATCTCTGGAGGCAAAGAGATTCAGAAAAAAAAGGTCAGAAAAACCTGGTCCTGATAGGTCAGTAGCTTGGGACCTTCTGGGTTTTGATAAAATTTCCATGCAACCCTAAAAGACAATCACTTCATCTGCCCCCATATCTCTCCTCTCTTTCCTCTGTGTGCATACATACATATATCTATACTTAACATGTGCATACATATATATACACACCAAAAAAAACCACATGTGTATACATATGTACACACATAAATATACACGCACATATATTCCTCACATGCAGGCTTGGCCAATTGTGACAAGCTCACAAACCACAGCTTCCTCCCGGCCCTAAACTGCCGGGGATACAACAGATGCTGGAAAATGCCAACTATAGCCCGATTTCCTGCCTGACACAATGGCTGAAACTCCAGACACTTCCTCATATTAATGGTTCCTGCAGGACCACAGCTTATGTGTCATATGTGAGAAGGGCAGCAGCCTTCTCAGCCTTGGGTAAGCTAAAAAAGGGTTGCTCCTGGATTCGGCCAGCATTTCCAGGCATTCTCTGGGAGGCTAACATTGTGGGCAACTTCTAAGGCCTGGGAAAGTGTTCTGTCCAATGCCCCTGTTCAAATAAGCCCTGTGCATTTGTGATGACCCGACCTTTCTTGGCCAAGAGATGCTTCTAGGATGCCCTGGCAGGCAACAAGATGTAGTATATGCTCCACAATCTGCAGAGGTATGAAGGCCAAACAAAGCAAAGAATCCTAGAGAATCACAAACTTCACTGAGGCTTCACAAGCTGCCTCCATCTCTCCACCTTCCTGTGAATTCATCAGATCACTTGCCTCCTTCCCTCTCCCAACCTGTTCATTGCTTAGATTCTGGAGCAATGCTGCAGTCCAAAAGCAAACTACAAGAGGATGAGGGGAAGCAAGCAACTTGGGTCATCTACACCTAGATAATTCGCCACTGGAAAAATTTTTTAAAGGCATTACTTTACAATATGGCTAAAACCATTCATTCCCCTTGTTCCTAAATCAGGAAACTGGCCAACAAGTCAACATGAGGCTTAAGTCCTCACATACCTCCGGCTCTGAAGCCAGCATAGCACTGAACAGAGTGAATGGGGGTAGTGCTTTGTGAAGGAGTT